ACATTTTTGGGCCTCTAAGAGGTATATAAGCTTGTCTCAAGCGACATCTTGGTCCAGTGGGTTAAAAATAAATTAAACTTTACATGTTATAGAGTTCCAACAGTGAACCCCCGCTTAAAATTGAGGCTACCACTGCAAATGACAATAAAAATAGCCCATCACATGACAATATGTAAAATTGCTGCAAATTTGTATCCTGATGCAGGATTCTGCTGTCGTGCCTGCTCATTTAAGAGATCCCTAAATGGTGAGAAGATCCTGACCATTGTGGACTGAGTTGGACAGCACTGAACTATAAGAAGAGAATGTAGTGTATTCATCTGGGAAAGACGTGTCATAGGTTTAGCTTCATTTATGTCTTTAGCTATGAAATAAAAACATTATTTACAAAAGAGGTTTAAACACAAACCGATTCGTTTGCAAAGCACCATGTGACCCAAATTCAGACCTTCAAACACTCATTCGCCTTTCTGACAAACCTGATTCTATATTTGGCTCATCAAAACCATCGACTTTGGGCTTGGGGGCATATTTCAAGGCTGTGAATGATTGATTTCCCAATCGTTGTTTGATTTTTTACCACCAGGAACCCATCAGAAGAATGGGATGTATTTATAAACTACGGTCAAAGTGCTTGTTGGATTTCTTCTCTTTCTCATCATATAATGTGAAAATCAAGTCTTTTTTGGTGTACCTTTACTCAATAAATATGGTTCTTGAAGGGCTGCTGTCATGGGTGCCTGAATTTAACCATATTTTCTATTTTTTTACCACCATTGTGTTTATAATTAAATATGTCCTCATATTATTACGTATCTTGTTCTGTTATTGCTTTGGATTAAACCTTGTGCGGGGCTCTTGCGCCTATTGTACCCCATTGTGGACACCTGAACATCACACCTACTATATGGCCAAAAGTAAGTGCATTCTTCTCCAAATGATAGCAGACGTAGCAGGTGTTAATGCTAAAGCATACAAAGACATTTTGGACAATTGTACACTTCCTACCTTGAGGGAAAAAATTGGGTGAGGCCCTTTTCTGCTCAAGCACGGCTTTGCCCCTGTGCACAGAGCCAGCTCCATAAATACCTGGTTCAATGAGTTTGCTGTGGAAGAACTTGGCCTGGACAGAGTCCTGACCTAAACCCGTCTCAACATCTTTGGGCTGAACTGAAACATCTCATCCAACATCAGAACCTCACATCACAAATGCTCTTCCCACAGGCAAACACCAAAATCTTGTGGAAAGTCTTCCCAGAAGAGTGAAGGCTGTTATGGCCACCAAGTGGGACTATAACTGTATTAATGCCCATGGTTTTAGAATGAGATGTCCACTCAGCTCATATGATATTCAGGTGTCCACAAATTTTTGACTGTGTATCCCGTTGACATGAACATTTTTACTTTACAACTGTATGTTCTTGGCATTTGAAAACATTTTATGTATATGTTATATAATGTATATTATCATTATGTTATATCTCTACTTTGTTTGTATGGCTTACTTTGAGAACCTGAAGAGCTGTATTTCATAAGAGGTTGACCCTGCACAACTTTTGTCTTTTTCTTCCTAATCAATGGTGAAAATAATTGTGTCAAATGGTAAAATTCTAATTGTTGACATGGGGGACTATACATTAGATAGACGGCATGCTGTGCGTTCCAACGTTCCATAGAAGACTGTAGAGATCGGTGTCAATACCTCCCCCGCTGCATCTAGCAATAGAGGTCACCATAACAGAACATGACAGGTAATAAATGCCCCTTACAAAGCCCACTATTTTGCTGCCCCGTCATACTGTATAACGTTTTTTTTAGAAGTGCTTTACACTTTTAAGGGAAAGTCTGATCTACACAAAAGCATTGGATAGCTTCTAGTTCTTCTAGAATATGACCCATGTTTAGAAGCCTAGACCTAATCTAGGCTTCTAAATATGACCTAATGACACATCAGTCTTAGATTCTTGGGCTGGGATTTTTGGTAATATGATATTTAGCTTATCGCTTAAACTACCCACCTAGAATACCTTGCTATCTGTGCCCACCCTTCTTTATCATAAGTAGGCATACGGTGTCTGTGCCTGGCCTATCACTAACTGCAATCACATGATTAGCAGGGGGAGTAGCTACACACCGATCCAATTATTTTCTAATTCTTCCCCAATTTCATGATTGTCTGAGGTACAGGGACACAAAAAAATTGTTTTATTTTATTATTTAATGAAACTGGTTATTCTTTTTCTGAAATTACAGCTAGGTTAAATTATGCGGCTTGTTTAGCAAAATGATTCTTTACCCAAATTCTTAATATTTCAGTGCTGCAAATGAATGGCATTTAAAGGACCAGTAAACATGAAAAGCCACGGTTTATAAGAAAGGACCAATTAGTAAAGTAGATGTAAACTCTAATAAATGACAGTTATTGTGCTAATGCCCTGTGTATCCACAACAATTACCTTTATTATTATTAAAATATTTATTTAAATATAAAGTAGATTTATTGAATGGTATTTAGTTTGCGTAGTAATTCTTTGTTATAAATACCTGTTTTTCACCTATTTTTATCCTTTGTTGCATCATGAAGAAGAGGCCGGCGTGCCTCAAAAGTTTGCACTACAATCTGTTTAGTTATCTAATAAATGGTAACACCTTAAAGTGACGCTAAACTCCAGAGTTAAATCTTAAAACTACATTAAAGTACCTTAACTGTTAACAACAATGTATCTTACTTGTGTATCACTCGGCTGTAGATCCTCAAATCATCTCTGAATTGGTGCTGACACTGTCCTTTCTTCTGGAGGGGGGCTACGTCTGTTCCCCATGGTCCCTGTGTGTGTTGTACAGTAGTCACCGCTCCAAGCTCACTCCCGGGATGGACTACAATCTCATGTTTAGTTTACTAAATTGTATTAAAATTGTAGTCCATCATGCGAGCGAGCTTGGAGTGTTGGCTACTTTACAACACACACAGGGACCATGGGGAACAAAAGTAGCCCCCCTCCAGAAGGAAGGACAGTGTCAGCACCAATTCAGAGATGATTTGAGGACCTACAGCCGAGTGATACACAAAAAAGATACATTGTTGCTAATAGTTAGGGTACCTGAATGTATTTTTAAGATGCAACTGCTACAAGTAAAGTCTCGGAAAACTTTCAGAAATTAAAAAGTATCCCTTTTGTATTCCAGGAGACCATTTCCTACATAAAACTGATGTCCTGGCCAATATTCCTATTGAAGGACTTGCAGGCAGCCTCTGATGAGTTTAGTGGTCTTTTAGGTTTACTGGTCCTTTAACCATTCATTTGAAGGGACCCTGTGTGGATGGCTGTTATGTGTCACATCTTCAGCTCTCATCCAGCACTGACTGATGCTAGTTCTGGGTCGCATCACAGTACGCAATGCTACACAGGTGTGCTCTGCCCTCCAACTCACACTTCCTCCAGTTGTCGGGCAATGGCAGCCTCCATGGATGGATGGAAGCCTTGGCTGTGACACAATACTCCCTCCACTATCAGCTTCTCTTTTACTTGGTGATGCAAAAACATCATCATTTGACCTCGGTTATCAATGTTTCTGCAGAAAGAACTGTTGCATTACATCAGCCACTCAGGATTCAAACATTTTCTAGGGAATTTTAGTATTGTTTCCTGTGGGTATCATGGTTTCCATCCCAGAAACTTTGATAAATGAGTCCCAGCATTGAGTTTTCCCAGGGCCTCTGTTAAGAAGCATTTGCAGCATTGTCCAGGGCCACGGAAAATCTTGTGCACTTCAGGTTGTCATTCTTCAGTCTATCATCACTCGCTGCATGTTGCCTCCAATGCTCTTTCTCCTTTGGGAGTGCGGTTGAGGGAAGTGATTTTGTCGAAACTGATTTAGCGATTGGCAATATTTTGTTCACATACATATTGCTGATACTTTGGATCACTGTGGCTCATTGTTTTCTTCCTTTTACCTGTTTGTCGTTACTTTCTTCATTGAGGCTAACGAGGGGGCAAATTATGGCTCAAGAACAGGCCCAGCATAGTTTAATAGAGGCTTCCACAAACCTTTTACCTTCTTCCTTGATCTCTACGAATGCCACCAATTTAAGACATTTTGCCAAAACTTTGGGAAAATGAAAACTCTAAATTTTGCTTTTTTCCCAATTGGGAGTAAGCTTTAATTTTGGTCTCAGTAGACTGCAGACAGATAGCCAAGGAACAGAATGAATTGATTTGTACGTCTCCACACACTATCCTGGAATAAGGATAGGTCTTTTTATTTTTGGGAAATGTGATGGAATGAGACATGTGAATTCTCTGCAGGGAATTTTTCAAAGCGGGAGCAGACAAAATCTGGAGCAGATGTGCATGGCAACCAATCAGCTTCTCTCTTTCATTTTCAAATCTTAACTGAACAAACTGAAGAGAGAAGCTGATTGGTTGCCATGCACATCTGCTCCAGATTTTGTCTGCTCCAGTTTTGATAAATCCCCCTCTTTCTGTTTTAAGAAGGCTTTTTGGTTCCTTTTGGGCTATATCACTATGTTAGGGTTCTACTTTCTACCAAGGGATAATCAATTCTCAAGGTATTGGGGTATGTGGTAAAAGCAAAGAAGGTATAAAGGGGAGAGAGCAAAGAGAGAGAAAGAGAATAGATAGTGAAAACAGAAGAGACATGAGAGCCTCACTGTGAGGTTCTGCAACATTTCACTGTACGGGGGTGACCTGACTCATTTAGAACCCTAACAACACCTCTGGCACAAGGTAAATTTGGTGTTCAGAGAATGGTCATCACTATGACCCTCACATTGTTTAGAGGTCTTATTGCCTCCCTGGAGGATGCATTCTTACTTTGTGGTGCACAAGATCCCATGTGGCCTAGGACACAGCCGCAAATGCCCTTTAGCATGGTCCCCAGTGATGTTTACTGTAATGGACATGCAGTAGAAAAAGAAAGCCTGGGGTATAATCTGTGAGCCGGGTAGACTTTTTTAATTTGACAGCCCTGTACTTTGGAAATAATTTATTCATCCTGTAGTTGTCTTCACGCTTCCATACTGGTCAGCCTAGAGGTATTGCATAGTAGTTATACCACAGCTGTGTTCTCTTTCATAAAGTATTAAGTGCATGCAATTCTGTTGGTATTCATCAACATTAAAGGCGCGGTCCCATAGAAAATAACATAGGGTTTGTATCTCGGGTACTAAAACTCTGCGCATGCGGGCGTTCCTGTCCACGTCCTTCGCTGATTTGCGGTTTACCACCTTCCTCCTGCCAGCGTCACAGTACTTTGCGGGCAGTCATTAATGGCCATAGGCTTTTACACTGGCCATTGTGAGCTCTCACTGGCCTTTCAACAAATACAGAGGGGATTCTCCTGCCCAACTGCACATGTATTCTTTCCGGAATGACGGGTGCATGACCAAGTCTCCAGCCAATGGCCCATGCCATCTACATGCCCAGCCATCTTTGGGCAGTGCTTGTCTTTTCCCCCCCCAAAGAAAAAGTTCAATGGCTGTGCTACCTCGGAGGGTGTGTGGGGGCTGCTCGACCATGACACTGGTATCTTGCATTTAGGCTGTTTCAAGGGTCATTGCATATTCAGCTCGTGTGGTGCCATTTTCTTCCTTGTGGAGTGGTTTCCTGCAAGAATTAAGAAGATAAACCTGTCAATTTTTATACAATGTAAAGTGTCATTAGATGTCCATTTTTGCAAAGAAATAAAAAATAAAACTCAATTTTGTATTTTCTGTACTTTAGCTGTTTAAGCTGTTTATGGGCAACACAGTGGCTTAATGGTTAGCATGTCTACCTTGCTGTAATAGGGTCCTCACTTAAAATCACTGCATGCCATCTGCATGGAGTTTTCATGTTCTCCCTGTGCTTGTGTGAATTTCCTAACACACTCCAAAGGCATGCTGGTAGGTCAATTAGCTCCTGACTATTTGGCGCTAATATGTGTGTGTATGCAAGTGAGATAGGGACCTTAGATTGCAAGGCCCTTAAGGGCAGGGACAGATGTGAATGTGCAGTATGTAAAGCACTGTGAAAATTGTCAGAGCTATATAAATGCCTGTAAAAAGAAAGGTTAGAAGTCACCAGTCCCCCTTCTAAGAGCGACATAAAATGACATCACAGTGCTTTAGCTGCCACTTAATTTATCACCTTGATAAGAAAAAGAGATAACAGGGAGGGAGAAATGTAAATGATAAGAGAAAAGAGAGAGAGACTGTGCCAGTGGTGTGACCGGGGGGCATTGTGGGGGTCCCTGGTGGATGAGGCCAATTTCCTGACATGGGGCCCCAAGTGCTGCTCATATTCTAGATTTACTTCTATAGAAGAGAAGAGGAAACTCCACATTCTACAAAGAGAAGAGGAGCCGAGAATGAAGATAGCTGCACATTATGTTGTAGCATGTTCCAGACTGAGAGGTCCATGAGAAATCGTGGACTTATATTTCCCCAGCCTGCACTCACCCCCCTATCACCCTTCACCCTTTATATAACCTCCCATTCCCTTTATATTATGCTTTACCTCTTATAAAGTCCAAGGACTCATTACCCCCTCCACCCGCCA